TTAAACCAAGACTAATTTTCAAAATAATCTTACAAGAACCTTAAAATTCAAAAAAGAATAAAATGACAAATTTTTGGCCCCCCCGCCGACGAACTTGTTCGGACGACTCCGCTTGACGAAACAGACCATGCAGGCGCGTTTAGGACGTTGACTTTAGTTAGAAAGGACACCCATATTGCTATGGCTCCACGCGCAAGCCATTAGCACGAAAATCGATGCACATGAATATCGAATGAGGGGGTTCGTTTCAGGCTCAACCCAGGTTCAATTTGGGCTTAAAGTGGGCTGAACACGAGCTAAGTAATTTCTAAATTCAAAATTTCAAATTTCAAATCAACCACTCAGTTTCGCCTTAATTAAATTTAATTAGAAATTATTATTTTCCAAGTAAAACTTCCCTATGAATGGAATCCCTTTAATTCCCTGCCTAATCTTGTGTAACGTTCATTTTGAATATTACAGCTATACAACTCGACGGGCTTCACTTTCCTGGCATTCGGTCCTCCTCTCCCCAGCTCGACTCCCGCTCTCTCACGTAGAAAGAAATACCGCTCGCCTGCTTCGCCTCCCTCAGAGATCGAGCGCCCATTCGACTCCCCCTTCCTCTCTCTCGACAAGACCACACGCTCTTCCTCTCTGCACAGAAGCCCTCACATCCCATGCGCCTCCTCCTCTCTGCATCAAATACTCATTCCTCCCGCAGTCATCCCCCCCCCTCTACACCGAGACTCTCACAGGCTTCGCCCCCCTCCTTACCGAATAGCCGTAGCTGCCCACCTCTCCCTCTCAGCACCGAAACCCTCACCTGGCTCGCATCTCCCTCTCCACTGAACTCCTCCTCTCGATCCAACCTGACACCCGAGCTTCCTCATTCGACTCACTCAAAGCTACCCCCCCACCCCTCCTCTCTCATGTACGCATTTTATTTTATGCACTGTAGTTCCTTTATTTTCTTCACAGTATTTTCTTACCTACACTTATTTACTTTACATCCAAAACCACAACAATAACAACAACAAAACCCAAAACATTGAAACATACCTGGTCAAACCTTGAACCCTTAAACCTTGTAGCTACTACTGCAACAGGAGGCTCAGAGCCAACTTTGTTGGCAGCACTGCGAGGAGTTTGAATCGAGCAACAAGAGGATATTCTTCAGCACTCTCTCTCTCTAGTCTAAACAGCAAGTCATAAGACTTCAAGATGGCTCGCCCAGCACAACGTAAATCCTCACACCCTCTTTAGGCTCCTGTGCAATCATACTGTGCAACGTAAGTCCTAACCCGTCTTAGGTTCTAAGGTTGTTGTTCGGTACATCGTAAACCCTCCTATTTTTCTATGCTATTTGTATAATCGGGTATTATGTAAGTGTAAGTCCTAAATAATGAAATTGACATTATTGAACACTTAAATAATACAGTCTCCAAAACACAACCACACAGTAGGATATTTTGGAAATTAACTGAGGGCTCTCCTCAGGATCTGTGACGTCTCCTACCGTTTTCTTTCTCCGACTCCTAAAAATAACTGTTTCTACTTGAGCCACTCTCACTTGCTTTTCCACGTCCTACCATAAAAATCTAAACTTTGAATTCTTGAAATGAATTTTTGAAGAATAGTACCTCTGATCATTATCGAGAGTTTTCTCAAGTGACCCCAATCATTTGAGATGTAATTAACTATAGGGGCTTGCCTCTGTGAGAAATTAGAACAGGTAAAATAAACCCTATTTAATTTTTGTATTAGGTAGGGGAACTTGTCAGTCACACAAAAAGTTCGCAGACCAAACAGATGTCATAAATTTCTTAGTTTGTATGATTGAGTTCATCGCCGAGGTATACCCTTATCTTTCGGAAAGATGTAGTATTCACGGTATCGGACACGATTATATAGACTATTGGATGAATGAGATCTATTTAGTCTCATTTTTCAAATATTAAAACACACTATTTTCAAAAAAAAAAAAGTCTTATATTAAATTAAATTTAAAAAATTATTTTCAAATCAAAAAGTTGATCGACAACCACAACATGACCTGATTTTCAACAAAGATTCAATAAACTCAGAAAAGGTCTAAGTGGGGGTGGAAGCATTTCTGTGTTTATAGAATGACTTTTCTTGAGCAGATATAAACATTAATGCATTTTAACACTGTCAATCATCTTCCTCGATTCCACTATCTGAAATTCACGAAAGTTTGTAAGAAATTTAATTATTCGTTTCATATCATGACTAAGCTTACTAATAGAAATCAAATTGCATCCAACTCTGAAAAATATAAAATAGAGGACAAAATGATATCCTAAGAGTTTTTCCAGCTATTTTTGAGTGCGATCCATCTGCAAGTCTAACCGATCTAGATGTAGAAGCGATTTAATAGTTGACCAGAGCGTTGATGTTTTCGATCATATGATCATAGACTCATGAATTTGTGATCTAAGTTCTAAATTTTTTACAAAATAGGAGAATGATATATTGTCTTGGTGTGTAACAAGGTTGGTGTGCTATTCTTAATTACCTTTCATGAGTTTTTCCAGGACTTCATGGTGTTCTTTGGTGAATGGTTCAGAATGAACCTCTAGAATTGAGCTTAACTTGTTCATCCCATACCTGATCGTAAACCATATACGTGTTTAGGGTGGCTGCTGTTGGGTTAAAGAGAACTACAAGAGGATTTCGACTGAGGAGGGCCTGCAGCAGGAGAATTGCGGTTGCGCGTGTGAGTTCCAACGTCAGAGGAATGCGAAGGCAGTCTTGCAGTAAGTATTCTTACGGCAAGAGAAATCAAGTTGAAGACTGCGGAAGCCTGAAAGGGAAGTCTGCATGGAACAACCGCAAGGAGAGATCTGATACGGACGCCAACAAGGAAAGCTATATGGAAGGACATGTCTTCTGACAGGTAGAAATCCGATTGCCTGAAAAGCAGATGAGTGCAGTGAGAAATTCAGACGAGTTTGTTATTGAATTGTCCCACACGAGAGAACTAAGGAGGTGACCATGACAACAAGAAGGGTCGGGATGACCCTTTTGAACGACTTCACATGCAAGAATGAAGATTTGCGGCAGTAGGATCCCGTAGGGAGACACCTGTAGGGGACCAAAATCATTCAGTGAGAATTTCAGAGGAACAAGAAGCAGGAGTCGGGCCCAAAGCGACCTGCAGTGATGGTGGCTATAGGGAGGATTCCTGTGGTTGTGGGCTGTTGGAAAGGCTCTGACAACTGAAATAAGATCTAGGGTTTGCTTCCTAGCTCTGATACCATGTAGAAAACATGTATGTGGAGGTAGGGCTGTCAAAAAAGCTCGTTGTTCGCGAACAGCTCGTGTTCCTCGAATTATAAACAAGCCGAATACGAACAACTCCTTGTTCGCTCGTGTTCGGCTCGTTTTAGCTCAAAATAATAATAATAAAAATTATATAACTATTTATATAACAATGTATTACATATATTATTTATATAATAATATATTATATATATTTATGTCTAAGTTTAAATCATAACACCTTATGTGGCAATGCGGTTAGTGCATTCTTTTGTATGTATTTGATCCATGTTCGAATCCCATACTTTACATCTATTTTTCTTAATTTAAGTTTAACGAGCTAATTTTGAGCCGAACACTAACACGAATATTTTAATCAAGCCAAACACGAACACGCTGTTCACGAGCCGATTTCGAACGAGCTGATTTCAAACATGAGCTGTTTCGAACGAGTCGAACACGATGCTCAAGCTCAGCTCGTTTACAGCCCTATGTGGAGGAATAATTACTTCACTTCATTATTCACATGTAGGGTATATCTATGTAGAAACCAATTCCTCCTAATTTACAAACTATCAAATATATCTAACCTTAATTAGGAAAGGAAATAATTCTAAAATAAAAAATAAACTAATATAAATAGGAAATGAATAAACACAAATAAAGAGCTTTCCAGTCCAATTCAATCTTTCATGATAGGTATGTGGCCGGCTGATCCACCCAAGAAAACAGCTGTTAATATCTGATTTTCCACAATTACTGACACCTTATCTGGATTGCCTCTGTAGATATCCTCAATTTATTAGCTTGGCAAAGGTGATCCCCATGCAGGCCTTTTAAGATTCCCAAGTTTTCAAGAATTGCTATTGTTTCTTGTTGAATGCTCTACTGTGGAAACTTACCTTCAAAAGGGGCTACCACCAGGAAGAGACCCACAACCTGTTATGGCCTACGGTTCTGCCTAGCAACCAACAAATGTTGCTTGCAAATGTCTGGTGACTGTTAAAGAAGATTGCAGGAGATTGCCTTTGATGGTGGCAAAGTTTTCGACTTCACTGCTAACGCTTCCCCTTCACGACTTCTCTAACAGCAGAGAAATCCTTTCCCAGCTTGAAGATTTCTTGAAGATAAACTCTCTGATAAACTCTCTGAGAAATCTTTTCTCTCTAAGGGATGTGATTCCTCTCTTTTCAAGCCTAACTCTATTAATTACAAAACCATCCTTTTAAGAGAAAGAAAATTAAAGCAGGATCATTAATAGAAATTTAATTATGAGAAGTACCCCTTGAAGACCTATTTGTCTTTCCACTTCAAGCTACTTCACCAGGTCGCCTTTCATTATGTTATTTAATGTTTATTATTTTAATTTTCAAGAATGCTTTTTCAAATTTTCATTGTCAGGACAAACCATCAATATTTGTGTTAAGATGCAGTTCTACTTGATATGCTTATTTGTAGTTTTATCCCCTAATATTATTTTTCACAGAACATACATAGTTATCCAATTTTGCAATTTTTATACTGAGACATGATTTCATTGAATCTTAATAAATGCTTTCTTAAATTTTCATTGTGAAGACAAACCGTCTATATTTGTGTTAAGATGCGGTTTCAACTTGAGATGCTTATTTGTATTTTTATTCCTAATATCATTTTTTGTAGAGCATGTTAACCAATTTTGCAACTTATATAATGAGACACGATCATTGAATCTTAATAAATGATTCTTTTAATAGATCATGGGATACAAAATTTTTACTCATGAGATTCAATCGAGCTATGCAGCAAGGGTAGACAACTTTAGGAGTTACGATACAATTAGCAAAGATATACTTCAGAGGTGGACATATCCTTTTGTTCCGGACGTTCAGTATTTAGGAAATGGCTTGCAGATGAAGTTAGACAGAGAAGGAATCTATAAAGCACCTGGTATGGCTCAAAATACTTGGAATAAAATTGGAAATGCAGTGAGAAGCATGATATTTCTTTTTGTGCACATAGATGGGTTCTCATGTTTTTCTGTTCTGTTGCTGTCCTGAAATCCGGCTTTCTTCTGTTAGTGGATTGCTCTGGTAGTTATCGTTATGTATTGGCTTGGGCCTGCAACTTCGCTCTTGGAAATGAATATTGATTTTACAATTGATCAATGTTATTGTTTATGTTGTTCAGAATGGTGGACATAAAAAATGATTTTGTTTTGCAAAGAAAAAATTTAGAGATACCAAGGTGAATGTCTCATAAAAATAGGCGAGAAATAGAAATTTGGATTTTTTAATTGTTCTCTTGGCCAACTTATTTTCTCTCCATCTCAATAGGTGCTAGAAAACAACTCCATCAATGTGCACATGAAAATGACTAACTTGATAGATTCATGGAAACAAAAGTGTTATCCCTAAAAACGATTGAAACTATGTAGTATGGACACAACACGATACGATGCAGCGACACAACATAATTACAAAATTAGGACATCATACAACATGCACATTTTTTTTTATATTTAGTAAATTATTAATATAATATGTATTTTAATATTTTCTACTAAGGGCATTACAAAACAAAATATGCAATTATTAAGAAAATTTTATAATTATAAAAGTTATTTTTGGCAATATCAAAGTTACATTCAAAATATAAAACAACCACCAAATATTTAATGCTAATGTCATCCATAATAAACTGAAACAATGAAACAACACAATCATTACTAATTCAAGTTAATTCATTCAACAGTGGTGTTATTATTAGTTCTAGTTCCATTGCCTCATCAATGACGTCTTCACCTTCATAAAAAAAAACCACCGTTTTCAAGCATGGCTTATCAAAAGAAAGATTAATAGGGGTAAAAATTCCAATATCATCCATTGTAGCTAAGGCATCTCCCCCAACATCCCATAATTTTGTGCCCCGCTGAGAATATTTTGGGATCCTAGATAGAACATAAAGATTCATATGAACAAATAACAACTCGTTAAGGAGTTATTTTGTTCCTCTTAAGCGAAGTTTTAAAAGAATATGTACTATAATTTATTTCACAACAAGAAGATAAACACAATTGAGCCAATTATTTGGAACTAAACTTTATAGTTAAGGTGAAATTGCTTCATAAATTTACCATGATTTTCCTTCCATAGTGTCTTTAGAAGCAATGAAGTCATGATCAGCGAAAGTACCACTAAATCCAAATAAAATTTCAAACTCTACGTTAACTATTGATCTTTCTTAATATTTAGGAAAATCTTCTTCAAGTATTTATTTCTTTCAATTGATTTCTCCATATATTTATGTGGAGCTATAGGATTTGGAGCTTCATTTAGCCAAATGTAATTGTAATATCTAATAAAAAATGCATTTATAAGTAACAAAACTGTAGTTATTTGGAATTGTGTTGGACTATATTATTGTTATTAAATGGGGGTATAAATACATGATACAATAATTTTAAAATAAGCAAGATATAATACTCAAATCTCTACCTAATAATTACTCAGTGATAAATGGAAAGTCATAAACTTGGAAATACAACAAATAGGAAATAATCGGAAAATAAACTAAATAATTTCTAGCAATTCCCGTCAAGTTGAAACATAAATGTCAATCATGTCAACTTGGACTTGAAATTGTCAAATAACTACTGAGGAAGATTTTTTGTGAGAATATCTGCGAGCTGACCTATAGATGGAATAAAAGAAACATAAATTTTCTCTGAATCAAATTTCTTCTTGATAAAGTGAAGGTCAATCTTCAGATGCTTGGTACGATCATGTTGGACCAGATCATAACAATCTGACGAATGCTTTATTGTCACAAAACAACTGTAGAGGAACAAAGTTCGACTTACGTAACTCGCGGAGCACGATGTGCAACCAGAGAGCATCACAGACTGCTAGGGACATAGAATGAACTCGGTTTCAACACTACTATGGGCAACCACAAAATATTTTTTATTATTCCATGTGACAAGTTTTCCCCATTCGAAGGAGCTATAACCCAAGGTAGATTGTAGATCATGGACGGACCCGACTCAATCAATATCGGTATAAACGACAACAAAGCGAGATGTGTGACATGAGAACAACAAATCTGAGCCCGGTGTGCCTTTTAAGTATTGGAGGATGCGATGGACACTGGTAAAATACATGTACACTAATTTTAAAGTGGACAATCATGCATGAACTAACTTGCAAGACCAATGACATGTCAAATGACTGGGTGCGTATGGGTTTGGTAAATGAGTTTTCCCATTAGGCGATGTAGTGCCTTGTTCATCAGAACGACATTGGGAGCGTTTACAAATTTCTCATTAGGATCTATCAGAATGGCTACCGGTTTGCGAAGAAGTAGTTTTGTCCCAGTCAATAAAACTGTCACATATTTGCGCTGAGAAAGGCTAAGCCCCAAGAGAACCTTGCTAATTTCATACCTATGAAATATTGGAGAGAACCCAAGTCATTCATTTCAAAAGATGTGGCCAGGATGCCTTTGAGATATTCCACGGTCGACTGATTATTACTTGTGAATAGCCTTTGGCGACGAACCGCGTCTTTTTGCATTCAAAGGATCCATCAAAGTTAAATTTGTTGCTGAAAATTCACATGCAACCCATTGCTTTCTTTCATGTTGGCCGGAGCGGATTCCAAGACATATAGCAGGTCAACGAGCTCGATTCTAGGGGCTTTGGAATGAGTCTTAACTGAGGGTTTGGTATGCCGAGTACATACACGGAGAGTGGATGGAGGTGATGTTGGTTTAATTTTTGGTGAAACCAGTGGGATTGAGGTTTTGGTATGCCGACTATGCCGAGTATAACCGCTATATCATCATTGCCACCACCACACATCAACACCTCCACACACCAGCACACCGAGACAACACCACATCCATCACACCACCATCACCACCTCCACACAAACACAACCACACACTAACCACCACCTCCAAAATCACACACTAATACCTCCACACAGATACCATCTCCACCACACAGACACCACACAGACAACAACACACCAACACTACCTCCACACCAAGACCTCCGCACACTAGCATATCAATACGCCAACACATACACCACTACACCACTACCACCACCATTACCACCACCACTAAACAACAACTTGTTGACCTCATTTTTGGTGAGGTTTAGTCTTCCTCTTAGGATTTAGGATCTAGCCTTAGGGATCTCCCTTCGACTATCTTAGAACCTTAGAAATGGGACCCGCCTTATTCTAGAATATCCCACTTCTGTTCTCTTTTTGGTTTCGCGTGTGTGGTGTCAACTTCTAGCACTTAGAAGGATGAAATCGACATGAGCAAACCCAAAAAGAATTCTTATAGGACCTTTCTGAGCCTTAGGGTGGTCTTCTGCACAATTCGCACTCCCGCGCGCACAAAACTTCGCAATCTGGAGTCGACACTTCCGATCGCCACAATTCACATCGCTTGCACTGTTACTTGTCAAAGGCTCGAATAAACCTTTTGAAACGATCGATCGCGGGTCGAAATTTTGTGAAATTTGGATTTTGACGCGTTTTTGACCCGATTGTCGACGACGTCGTCCGAGCGACCCCGGATGACAAAACAGACTGCACCGGCACGTCCGGAGCGTCGATTTTGCCTAGG